TATTGTCACTCTTTTCGACAGCTGTCCTCGTGTGCACTCTTTTATGTACTCGGAAAACGATGAGGATTTCGGATCCAATGAAGCATATAAACTCGATGAATGGGTTTTTAATCACGTTGAGGTGAAGCCCTTTGTTACGTACCTTCTTTCGGACTTTGTTCGTATTGGCGTGCCATTCAGGACTTCTTCAATCAGGCGAGAAATGACTCCGAGTTAGAGCAACGTCTTATGGCTGACAAGCAGGTGTTTTTCCTCCATCTTTTAGGCCTCGATACCAACGGTCATGGGAATAAGCCACATTCTAAGGAGTATCTAGATAATATTGAAGGTTTGGCTCTTGCCTACACCATTTTTTATATATCTTTCCTTCTCGCAATCACTGCCCAATGCAAGTATTTCAGTGGTCGATCGCGGGATAGAACGCACGCAGAAGACTATTAACGAGTTTTTCAACGACACATCCACTGCATTTGTGATGACGGCTGATCACGGAATGACGGATTGGGGTTCGCATGGAGCAGGAAGCGACGAAGGAGGTAGACCTTGATTTGTTTCACATTGTGATTTCAGGGGTAAATGGTTCTGGTGAACTACGGTGGACTGCGCGTTCTATACTCATTACTTTATTATTTAATATTTTCATAGATCCATCAATTTCCAGTTCTTTTTCTTCTTAGACATGTGATCTGTTGGTTACCAGCGCTGCGGAAGCGTCATCCTAATCTCAGCCTTACCTGATTCCGATTTTCGGCGCTTAGTTACATTTAAAAGTAGAATCTTTGTTCAGAAAGAAGTTCTGTGGTTATCTAGGCAGTTGTGTGGTAACTATTACAGTTTTCCAATCCATTCTTCGTTATAATATTTTTCTTGTTTCAAGAACCTTATATCGCAGGTACTGACCCCGTTTATCGCATGGGGAGCTGGAGTGCAGAAAGGAGGCGTGACGAGTACCATTTCTCAGGTATAGGTACGGCCTTCGCTTTACTCAGTTCTTTCCAAGAAGAACGTTTTGCAGGTAGATCTCACACCGTTGCTTGCATCACTGATTGGGGTAGCTGTGCCTGTGAATTCAATGGGTGTTCTTCCTACACAAATCCTTGACGTATCGCCAAATTATCTCTTCAAAAGCAGTTTCGCCAATTTTCTGCAGGCAAGAGTGATCTGTTTTTAGCCTCTACCACTATTATTCTTTTCTGCCATCATTTTTCGTGACATCTGCTCCTCAATGTACTCGTTCAGCTCAAAGAGCAGTTCTTGGTGCTGAGAGAGGAGAAAGCGAAACGTCTTTGGTTCCAAGATTTCGACACATTTGGCCTTGAAAGCGTTGCTATGCTTGGAATCAGAAAGAATGAATGCTCAGCAAAGTTACGGTACGCGCTTTCGTATATTTATTCTGTAGAATTTTGTCTAGTATTCAAACGATCCACGGTGTCGAGCGCCGCTGCGTCGCCATCGTCTGACTCCTTTCAGCTCGCCCAAAGTATAAACGTTGGCCTCCCAGAGTTGCACGTCTTCCCTGAATCAACAAACGTAACTCCAACGAGTTTCCAGCCGATTCGCTAGCTGCTGGCTTCGTTGTTGTGAGAAAAGGCGGATGTACATAAAGAAAGCGATATTTCACTACCACCGTTATGATCGGGCATTCCTCGGAGCAGCGATCAGTTGCTGTTTCATGGCATGGATAGCGCTTGTGTGGTGTTATCTCACGAGGTTTGGCTCCGCTCTCTCTTGAAATAAGTGGTCTGACAGTAGAAATTCTGCAGCTAATTTGATACATTCCAGAGATCGCTCGGTACCTATATTCACGCGAAAAACATTGGTTCCAAATAGGATATTTTCTGGTCTACTCGTCTGTTTGGCAGTTTTCTGCCTTTACTGCAGGCTTCCACTAATGAACTGGTTCTACTTGTTACTACCGCTTTTCCTCGTTTCTGTCATTGAGAATGTTCTCAATGTGACACTAAATGTCTACTCGTTTATTGGTTACTGTATTACTAATTACTCCACGGTTTCTTTTACATTTATGCTTCAACCCTTCCTTGGACTCATTGCAACAAGTAAGTTCGAATGTTTCGATCGTTATAAGTGACTTATGTTTTTAAACTTTAAAAAACTTATGTTTCCAGGTATTCTTCTTTTCATTTACGTTATCATATTCATAGAGCGTAGGTTTTTGGCGGCATTGTTCGTGCTGTTGACGTTCGTGCCGAACTTGTATAGCTCAAAAGTAGCTGAGGAGTGGTTAGTCCCTATACACTGGCATTCTTATTCTTTTTGCACTAGCTCGAGTGGAATTCTAGGGAAGCCATGCGTGTAGTAGCAGCTCCATTTGTGCTAAACTGTTAGAAATACAGCGCGCTATTCGGCTTGGGAGGAGCATTTTTCACTTTTGATACTTCATTTTGCTAAGTCCTGTTGAACTAGGAGTCACACCACGGAGACATGTACACTGTCAAATGTCAACGAAGCTCCTGCTACAGCATAGCTTTACAAGAGTTTACGGATTTCCACAAGAGGATCGGCAGTGATCGATGGGAAACGTCATACTGCACCCACTAAGCCGAACTGCGCCGAAATATAAAGCATCCAAATCCAATCTGACTGCGCAAATTTTTCAGTTTTTTAGGAAGAGGATCTGGCAACTGATGTGTGTGGTTCTTCTGCCGTTTCCGTTCCTTCCTAATGTTGGAAAATCCGAAATCCCGCTCTTGTGCGTTGGTGCGTCCCTGCTTCTAGCTATAATACTACGAAAATTATCTCGGCACCCGTTACTGGAAAAGAAAACTAATGACTTATACAAGTTATCAGTGATGTTAGTCACAACAGCACTATTGATTGTGGTCTCGTCCTATTTATTCCAAAAGGTGGGGATTTTTACTCCATCTGTTCGTTTTCGTTATTTGCGCTTTCCTCTTTTCTGGGACGATTGAGTTTGAGATCGAATGTGTTTTTGACGCTAAAGTAGATGGATGCGAGAGGGGGGGGGAGCGCTTAACAAGGCTGTGCTCGGCTGTCTGCACATCATCAGCTCAACCAAACCACAGAGTACTATCGAGAGAGCGCAGATGAGCCGAGAAAACAGCATTGCGGCCGACTGCCCTTCCTCAACATCCTTATCGCTCAATCTTCTCATAAATAGATTGGGATCCATTTTTATTCCCGAGTTCAATTATTTGAATTTTGCAGCCCCCGGCCCCCTTCTTCGTTTTGATTTCTGCTTTCACATAGCCTTTTCAATGTTGCTGCCACTTTTTTCACCGTCTACAATTGTAGATAGGAGTATATGGTTTATCTGTAAGTGTTCCATATCTACACTGGATTCTGTTCTCAGAACGCATTCATACTTCACGATCCGACCGCGCGATTCAAGCAGTCGTATCGCGAAGTATAAACGCGCGCTAATAATTTCGTGAGCTCTATATGTTTACAGGTTGTTTGTTTGTGCCATATTCATTACTGTCGATTGCTTACGAATCGGACCTCACATTGTGCTTCATATCCAATTTTATTAAGTGTGTCCTTCGATATCGTTCAGCCATCTGTCAGACGCTGAATTTCTTCAGCTTCCAGCTGATCAGTCTGTAGATGCAGGTAATTGTTGATACTTCTTGTTACTTGTGTATACCAGAATCTAGTCACTCATTCAGCTATCCCTAATTGTAGGCTGCTCGTCGCGATCCAGTCGAGTCACAGGCGCTGAACTAAGAAGAGCGGTGATTTGTGTCAGCTTCGTATTGGCTACGATGTTTGGAACTGGAAACTTTGCTTCAATGAATTCATTTAATCCGTCAACTCTCAGTCGTTTTATTTCAGTTTTTAGGTAATTCTTTGACATTTTTTCACTCTGAGTGTTTTCAAGTATTTCTCTATTCTAGCCCATTCACAATGGCAACGTTATTGGTGTTAAAAATATTCATACCGTTGTTGATGATATCGCTATTGTTCGCAGCGGTTCTACGGTTTAATCACGAGGCTATACAACGGCTTTCATGTTTGGTGCTCATTATTACAGATCTCATGGCTATGGTTAGTTTTCTCACTATTTTTTCGGTTTTGTTTTTCTCCCATTTGTGTCCAACTAAACGAACGCGAAAAGAAAAGGATTTTGGCGCAATTTCAAGAGTGCTGGGCATTTTGATGCTGGGAACCCAGAAATCCTCATCCTTTGAAGACAGAGGTGGACCCCTGGCAATGAGGGTTTCTGCCTGCGGAACACTCCGAAGTGGACGAACGATGCACAAAAAGGATGCTTTGAGCCATTGCAGTGAACAGAGGTCCTCCTCCTCATTAAAATAATTCTTCACTTTCGCAAGTGAAATCAGTGGAAAAGACATTAAAGAGAGGGAGAGGGAGAGAGAGAGGTCTAATCCTCAAAGATCATTCATGCTTCGCGTTTCGATCACGCGATCCAAGTCGGATTGCGAAGTATGAACCACGATCGAACAGCGAAGTATGAAAGTGTTTCGAGACTTAGACCTTTCTCAATCATGCCACCGCAACCTTTCCGTTTTTTATAGTTTTTCATAATTTTATCTATGTCCCTCTTTCCCATTGATTTCGGGTCTACGATTCACAAGAATCGGCTCAACGGTGGTACGGTTACAACGAGTTCCAAGGTAAAATTATGTCTGTGTATCTGTTATACCCCAAAATCTGTAGAATCGCGTTCATATTTTGCGACTGGGGAAACTCAGCGTTCAAAGATAGCGCGAATTGCGGAGAACCGGCAATCCTATGTTTTGTGCGTTTGTGCGCCGTAGTGGATAGTATCCATCAGCATCGGATACTAGCCATTCGTTTGAGGGTTTGAGAAAGTGAGCCATCCGGCCTTTTGAGAGTCGGCGATTCAGCGTTTAACAGGATCGGTTCCGATAGGCGCCGGTCGCGAGCAGTTGCGGACATTGGGCGACCCGGCATCAGATCTTAAACGCCGAAGTTCCTCAGTCGCAAAGTATGAACACGGCCTAACAGTGTTCCTGAGCGCTATTCCAAATTTATTTGAACTTAGCCAATGAACAAGTGCTTTCAGTGCTTTTTTCATCAACTCAAGGATGATGGCAGCTGGTTGGATATAGGTTTAAGTATATCTCAATATTTAATATCAATGTGTATGTCCGTTGCTCTCTTACTATTACTACTATGTGCCAGTACTTTAATGACTACCACATTGTCTCGGAATAATATCGAGCAAATTAAAAACGTGTTAAAAGGCGAACAAAATGATTGCCTTCTTTGAACGTGTCTTACATCGCGTCGTGTACGCTAGCTTTACTAACCATACGGCGCTCTTCGGCCTGGGAGGGCATATTGCACCTTTACGAGTACCTTCTGTTAGTTCATGTTAACTTAAAGATCTCATCTATCTGAAACCTGTAAACCCGTTGTGATGCGCCAGATGGTAAAAGCTCCACATAGATTACAAGAATTGACATTTCTTCACAACGCAGCATTTTACCTGCAGCCTCACTGTGCACCACTTGCTGCCCACCCCCCAAGCCGAACTGCGCTAGAAATTTTACTAGTCTTCTGTCGCAGTCTTTCGCATTGGCATTGCCTTTTGATGACGAATGCCCAGTCTTATCTGAGTGTGTAACAACAATGTGAAACTCCAAAAGTTTATTCCAAAAGACTCAAAAGACAGTGAAAGTCTCAAAAGTTTGTTATAATATATCTTAACTTGCGATATTTCGGTGCGTAGCACCTTCGTCAGGCCTGAAAATATTTAGCTTGTTTTGTTGGTTATACCTTCTACAAAGCTTAAGGTATAACCAACAAAACAAGCTAAATATTTTCAGGCCTGACGAAGGTGCTACGCACCGAAATATCGCAAGTTAAGATATATTATAACAAACTTTTGAGACTTTCACTGTCTTTTGAGTCTTTTGGAATAAACTTTTGGAGTTTCACATTGTTGTTACACACTCAGATAAGAAATGAGACTCCGGGACAGCACCATACTCCATTCCTTTGGCATTAATAATAAGCTGCTTAGCTTGATAATTGAAAATAATAAATATTTATTACATTGTAGAATCTACCAGAATGACATAAAGCATTGCCAAAAAATATTACAGTACAAGCTGACATGTTTAAGTGAAACAAATGATCAGAGCAGCTATTCGGAGCAATCGTTGAGAGCATCATAGACGACTTCGGTCGGAGAATACACGTATTATTGATCCGAGACCAAAACGGGCGACCAACTAAATAAGAGCCAGTTGACCAGCTAGAATCTCACCGAATAATTGTTCCTACGAAAATTTCGTTTTCATTGCAAATACTGAGGACTGCATGGGACGAGTACGGATCGGGAGGGGGAGACGCTCAAGACAATCATAGTTTCCACTTGATCGCGCGGGGCGTTCCCCTAATTCCCATTAACCTGTTGACTGAAGCACCGCATTTCATGCAGACTGCGAGTCTATTGAAGCCATCTACGACCCAGAAACATCTTCACGCTGGCGGAACGTCACACACGACGCGCCACCAGCGCGGTTAATTACGAAAGTCTTGTCATCCACTATCGGCCCGTGTTGCGGCTAGCGTTTTCTTGTTTTTGAATTGCTATACAGTAGCGTCTTCATCACGTTAGAATAGTCAGAACTCAAGGCGGATGACGAGAATGGGATACCATTTGCAACGTCTAGTCATCGAAAGATGAACTTTTGATCTAAACCTCGAGGAAATCTGACACCGTAGAACTACCACTTACGTTTCTGGAAGCTAATGAGGAAGATTGAGTACCAATGATTACAATAAGTAGACGCTGCTCGGCTTGGAGGAGGAGGGGGAGGGGAGGGAGAGAAGAGGACTACTACACTTCCGCTAGCATCTTTTGCTGTTTCCTGTTGAACTACACGTTTGACCGCGCGACCTCTAGACACTTGTTACGTATGAAAGAAGCTCATGTTACTGCACAGCTTTACAAGTGTTTAAGGTCTCCGCACTAGGCACTGGCAATGATTAATGAGAACAAGCAAAATACCCCCATCAAGTCGAACAGCGCCAAATACCTATTAGGAATCAAAGAAGGGTGGTCGGAGCACTGGTAACTGATAAGGTTGAAAAATGGTCAGCGCTTTGTGGTCTGCTGCCTAATCCATGCTGGCTCTGTGAGCGCGAGAAGCCAACCATTCTGCCTTCCTTATTGGAGCGACATTCTGAGATGATACATAGAAGGGCACATCAACGACCACAGCACACTGACTGACTCTTGCCGCGCATACCCATAGCATGGACTGGCACTTTAATGTAAGAGTCCGACTACAAGGGAAAGAAGTATCCATAAACAGACCTCGCGCTCAATCAGTTTCTCGGATTCCTTCTCTGATCAAGTAGTTCGACGCCCTCGTCACTCGTGGCGCCGCGAAAGTCTGACAGTCTTTGCGACTACGCACCGGAGTACTTGACCAATGAAAAAATCCACGAAATGGTTGCGTGGGACTCGAATATCAATAAAAGCTCACCAGTGAGTGCCATGTCAACAGTGTCTGACATAGAGCATTCTCGGGTGTAATTTCCATTGCTTTGTATACATACTTCATCAAAATGTCACCCTCATCGTTGGAGAGTTTCTGAACGAACAGAAAAAAAAGATAAATTGCAATCGAACAGTAGTAAACAGGGGAGTACCTAAGTAAAACTTACCTTTACAACGGGTTCTATTTCACTTGATTTGAAAGAACCCAAAACTTTGGCGACTAGCATAGTGGCTCTGTCTTTGACAGCCTTGAACATGGTGTTAAACGGTATGGTGAGAAAACAACAAGAAAAAACTTGAACGAAAGAACCAGCAAGTTAGGCTGGCAACCTAAGCCTCAATTATGGAGGCGCTGTTCGGCTTGGAGGAGGCATTTGGCACTCTTAGGAAGTGGCACTAGTGGAGTCACTTTTGCTATAGAAATTTACAAGTATTCACAAGGTGGCTTGTATAAGCCTCGGTGTGTACCACCTCATGCCCCAACTAAGCCGAAATGCTTCATTTCGGATATCGATCAATCGTACCTGATTTTTACATTTCAACGGTGGATTCAGCAATGCAGCATGAAGTGCATCTTCGAGGCGATTCGTCTGTAGATGAGAGGTCACTGTACGTTCATCCGGACCAAGACCAGGGGTATCCCCAGCTTAAACAAATACTGTTCACGAAATTCACTATTGAATTGTAAAAATGAAAAGATACAAGGAAAATTTTGTAAAACATTTCGGGAGGTCACGACTGATAAGATTCATCGAACTTTTCTGCAGCTGATATTTCTAGATTATCTGATGACCCTTTGGGGAGTTTTCTTGGTACTAATGGTATTTCCTGGCACTACAGCCCCATGTCGGCGCGCCCATGTGCGAACAGTAGTGAGAGTTTATGCGGAATTCCCAGATGCGATTTACTCCGTTTAGCCGCAAAAATGCCTGCGTTACGCCAATACAACTAAGTCATTAAGCGTTTGGCTCGAACCCGCACAGTCTTTGCTAGTTCGTGCAGAGAAGGGCTGCCAGTGAGGCTCGGGTTTGAGCGCACCGCCAGTCTGTTCTCACCGGGCAAGTTGCTAAAGAGGGTAAGCGACAGACAACGCTTTTAGGAGAAAAATGAACTTGATAGGCAACGTATGACTACAGCACATGTCGCTTGTCGAAAGAAAAAAAAAAGCAGGAAGAAAGCCGTGGCACCGCAGCGGCTTCTCCCTGCGTGTAAGAAACACTTCATAGAAGGCTAGATAATCACAACACCCAGCGAGATATTTTGAAAAGAGGGGCAGTTTGGCTTGGGGACGGGACTTCGGTTCCATCCCACTGTTACTTTCACTGGATTACAAGAGCTGACCAGTAGTTTCTAACCACAAAGTAGGCAATCCTGCGAAGCCTTCTAAAACCATAACTCTCAATGGTGAAATTATGGTCTTAGAAGACTCCCGCACGGATTGCCCTTTGTGTTTCGACAGGCGACATTATGAATAGGGAAGCGCGCGAGATGAACTTCCCCCGTCGCATGACCGAAAGGTAAAAACAGTGAAAAAACAAAAAAAAAAACACCTGAAACCCATGTTTACTCTTAGAAACTGAGTGAGGCATTGACAACGATTCCAAGGCGAAAGTTTGTGAACACAAAAGAACGTCCAGTCTCATGCAGCGAACTGAGCCAGCCAACTATTCGCCTCATTAAACAACAATAAATTAGGAACGTCCATCCCAGCGTGACGATAAATTAGTTTTCAAGCGCGGAATTGCTTTTTCTTCACCGATTAGATACTGCTTCCTCACTGGTAGTATTCGTCATTTGGCTGAGGTTACCATGACTTACGTGAACTAATATTTTGAAAAAAGGCCCCATCCGATTGGAGGGGATTTTGCCGGTCCATCGATCACTGCCCATGTCTCGCGAAGACTAACGAAGTCCTGTGAACCTATGTAGTGCCATGAGCTTCAGCCTCATGAGTTCACACCTAACAGAGTCTACAGGTCTCACGCCAATGAGACGTGTGATTGAAAAAGGACTAATACAAGAAAGTAGCGGCATCGCTGAATGCTTCCCCCTCCCCCTTTAAGCCGAACAGCGTCTGAAAGAATCCGACGTTTCTCAGATGAACGAACACCTAGAAGTCATTAGACACACCGCATGTTTGATTGCACGTCCAGATGAACAAAAACAGTCCGAACTACACAGACCCTGTCAGGTCCGAGTGTCGAAGAAACCAGCGTTGACGGTTCAGAAGTGTTTCGTACAGTGATGAAATGGTGACAGAACTGTACTAGGGAGTGACAATTGCCAGCAGATGAAATAATTTGCTTTTCTTATTCCCTATTATTTTGTTGAAGCCTCAAGCTTGTTGTTCGATGTCTAGGGACCTTAAAAGAAAGAGGGAACAACTGAACATACCGGAGCATATGCTGCAACAGCATATTCGAAAACGGTAATCGTAATACTGCACATCGGTTCTTGTTTACGGCCCTCTGAAGTTCGTGAATGCTTCGCGAAACGATTACCCCCTTCTCCGCGAGAAGATTTTTACGTTCTTGCGCGAGCGCCATCTCCACCACTCCCCGCACACAGTAGACCTCATGGGAAGCCTCGCCCCAAATTGACACGCCCTCTTTTCACCGCGAACACAACTGGCGCTAATTTTTCTTATGCAGATCGTTATTCTCGCTTTTTCTGTGTAGTTCAGCTTTAGTAATGGAAGGTGAGAAGAAACGATTTCGAGCGAGAGGAGACGGGGCAAAAAGACTTTCCCAACTATGAAAATGGAAGAAATTTTGCAGTGGCCACATATGCCCCTATTCGACTAGCCGTAAAAAGGATAGGGCCGTATTATTCTCTGACAAAAGGAACTGTCTGAGCCAATATACCCGCAATTCGCCACTGGATTTATGTCTACGAAAGCTCCCAAAACCGATAGGTTACTGCGGTCAATGCCCTAGTTATACTTACAGCCATAAAGGGTAAAAAGAAGTTTCTATACAGAATACCATATATTGATATTGGAAACTAATTGGCTTTTAAAAAGCGTACCGTCCTCATTTTCGTCGTAGTTTTCCGGATCATAAGCGTCGACATCGATCTTTCGATAGCTGGTATTCTCCATGTTCTTCGCCATTGTGACTACGTTGTGGAGGAGTGAATCGTCGCCAAAGACTTTAATGGGCGAAGGCGATGAGCAATGAGGATGACGTCATAGGTAAGACAAGATACTGTAAGTGAACTGGTCCACAGTTCGCGATTAGAGCGCTATTGTCGCGTGAGCAATGATCGAGACATTTGAGATGATTACCTATTGTCGTAACAAATTCCATACCTTCTCAACAAAGTGGGTTATGTAACCCATAAAAACGCTTACTAACGGTTCTCTTAGGGAAAAGATACCAAAAAGCCAGTAGGAATGCGGCCACGGTGACTAGTACTTGAGCTAATTTCCAGCACTCCTTCGGATCCACAACGAAGAAATTCCCATATGTGCTATACACGCCCAGGGCGTGTTTTTTTTCAAATCCATATCATCCACAACTAGCATTTTATATTGTTGCCATCCACTCACACCTGGGGTGCAAGCTTCGCCTTGGTCAGTTCTTTAGATGCGAACCAACGTATCTTTACTTCGCATGTTGCGGAATCGTAGGTGGTATTTTGAAGCAAAGGTGGTCTAATAAATGCACATGTGGCGCGTCAGAGAGTGATACCAAAGGCGCTAAAGGTAGGGACAAGGACTCCGCGCCCCCTGCGCTGCTCTCAAAAAAGGCTCAGGTCAAGAGTTGAAACGATCCGAGTAGCCAACAGGTAGCCCTGCAGAGAAGACATAGTCTCCACTAAAACTTAATCTCCAGTCAAAGTGTACAGATTTGCTGGCGGGTGGCTTACCCTCCCCTCCCCACCTAACTGGCGTTAGCGCTGGGGTACAAATCAGTAACCCACATGTGTTCTTTTCTCGTTGGCAGCCAGGGAGGAGGGGTGGACTTGTGGCACTCACGCTCACAAACTTGCTAGCAAAATCCACACCACGGTAAGCAATACAGTAACTATACCTGTAGATCCTCTATAAAGCTCTTTGCACAGTTTTAGCTCCCTCCGTACTCTCCGATCATGTACTGAGCTAACAACAAGTTGACAGCGGTATTCAGTACTCTTCACAATCTTTTTGTGACGCATACTACTTCGCGAATGGAACTGGTCGGCCCAACCGCTACAGATCGCATTCCACCGCCAATTGTTGCGCTGTTGCAACTGCTAATTTAGTTCCAATAAGGATTATTTCGAACTTTGTAGCGGCCAGGTGACCAGAGGTGGAAGGCGATCAGTTGCAGTCGCGCGAAATGAATCGCACCGTGCGCGAAGTAATGAACGCATTCTGAGCCGCCAAGCACCACAGGCTTTCGCATTAGTTGTAAACATAAACAGGGACTCACGACATCCAATGCACTATAATCCGAGCGAAGCCTTTTCTTGGCGGCTCAAATGCCCCAATCACCCGGCCAACCCGGCTAATAAATCCTAACATTTCATATAGGCATATCCACGACAACATGAGCTAAAAATACGAAACATAGTTTACCTCTTAATTGGCAATTGTCATCAATCGCACACTCACACACATCATGAGCTCTGAGCAAACAAACAACAACATGATCACAACAACGAGCGCTGAAAAAAACTTATACATGTGAGAAACGAATTCTGATTAGAACATTTAGAATCTCAAAAATAACAGGCAGCTAAAACTACACTACTTAAAAGCAGTGACACCAAGGTGTTCCTGGAGCTCTGGTATTGTCTTTTCCCAATGGTTTTCCCAATCGACAGCTAGGAAGAACCTCGCTCGCTGGGCTTGTTCCACGATCCCACGGGAGATTGCGTGTCAGGAACTGGTGACGGTGCCTGAATTCTTTTCAAAAAAAACACGACAATAGGGAAAAGAAAGGGACTGTGCCTACGCACTTTTAGCGATATATGATGTCGGCATAGGTTACGCTGTTTCTGTCTTATCCAGGACCAGAATCTCCTAGGTATTATCTCTTTCTCAAGGAGTTAGGATAATCGGAATATCGGATCCGAATATAAGTCACGAAAAAAGTAACAGGCAAAACGAAATAGCCAGACCAGTGCAAGTAAATATGTAACCATACTAAGAGGCTCTACAACTAAGATATTACGAAGGTAACCTTCTATCTTTAATCTTCACTTTGGTAACGGTGGTCGTCTCAAAGCCAGCACGCCAGCACCAAGGCGAGAAACTAAGACATGCGAAGGAGCGCGCGTTTACACTCACTTGGTCCGCAGCCGTGCTGCTCCAAAAATACCGGCAGTAACGCACATCGGCAAACCAAATTGAATTCCTTCAAAGTATTTGACGGTGACCTTAACGAAGTATGTCGGTTAAAAACCACACATTTTTGATTTCATACTGAAGGCTGTATAAGAACCCCAAAAGGAGGACTTATTAATGTGACTACCTAATACAATCTACTCTTACTTTCGTGAAACTACACTACTTGGTTGTGAACCCATAAAGTCCTACCTCTCCAAGCATGTGCGTAGGCATTTCCAGGAGAACGTGATTAAAGTCGTGTGTTTCACGGTAACGTTGCATAACATAGAGATGCTTTTCATCCTGCACGTACTTCACTGGAGGTCTTGCATCAGGCGACGTCTTTAGGCCAGCCAAAAATCTAAACAAATGTCACAAATACACATACTCCGTATGGCTGAGCTACCACTTACGCGCGCGAACTCATTTGGATACAAGGTATATTAGACCGTGTTCATACTTTCGCGAGCTGATCACCGTAATCTCTAGTGATCGGCGCCGATCGATACATACCCACTCCCTTGACGGCAATCTCCTGAAACGGCGAGTTTCCCAAACCACCGAGTCAATCTCTCAAAACGCCGTATCGTCGAAGCTCCTCCAGATCGACGTACACTTTCTTTGTCTCTCTAATCGCGTAATCTCCTCACTCGTTAAGTATGAACGCGCACTTACTGTCGCGTTGAACACAGGGGGTCTTAATAGCTTCGAAAAATTTATACTGATTGTTGATTTCTCCCGTTTCGGGCGCGCTGAATCTCCTGGCCGCCAAACTACTAATTCTGAGTTGATAGAAACTGTCCTCTCTCTCCAGCCCCCTCCCCACCCCCCTCGATGGCAGAATGAAATTCTGGGAATGGCTGGTTATATGGAAGGGAGGTTGCGAAAGTTTGCCATACCGAAGAAAAATGTTGGGTTGGGGAGGCAATTCAGCAAAAATTTCCATGACACGATGAAAAGCCCCGCGATAATTCTGAACGTATTCGCTCTTCTAAAGACCGTCCCTTGGGAAGAGAAGAGTTATCTACCTCCAAAGAAGGAGAAGGCGCAGGCGAGCAGCCTAAGTAGCGCCAAAGCCTGCCCTTTGCCTCCCTTCATACCCTTCCTCTCCTCATGCAAGAAAGCACCCATTCACGCAGTTTGGAGACAAAGAGTTCTTACGTTCTGAAGAAAATGGTGGCACTACAGCGATTGTATCGAGAATTAAACGAATGGCGGCCACTTTAGGGATGATTTCTGAGGAACCGAAAAAGCGAAACAGCGAAAACGACTATCTCAGCAATAACAACACATTTGTGATGTACTTGGAAACTCATGTCCTGCCAAAGCAAACAGTAACAGTAAGCCTTACTTGGCGTAACGTTTTCCAAAAGTATTCTCCGGTAACGATTCAAGATATTCACGATTCACCGTTTGATTGTTGACCCTTGGACGTTCTTTGAGAAGACGGGCGCCAACCACATCACTTTCCATTCGTTGTCTGTAATAAGAGGACCGTTGCTCGATAATGTCACATGATCAGCGTCAGGAATAGAACAAATAGCTACCGAATTTTCTCAAGAACACTTTCTAGGGCAGTGGCTTCACCCATAGCAGCCTACCATGTCACCTCGTCGTGGATCAGTAATCGCCATTGTTGCTGAGCCTACACCGAGCAACATTCGGGAAACCAGCGAAAGTGGAATATGGCCGGGATAGAGGCTAGTCATTGCATGCATGAGTCATGCACACAGCTACCTGATAACAACATCTCAACTTGTACAGAAGATGCTTCCCAAACCGGAATGCATGGCGCGTCGTGATAGCGAGGCTGGGTTGACGATCGTGCCGCCACAGTCCTTCACTAGCCGACTGACTACTGACTGAACACTATCGACAACAAACCCGTGCGGAACTAGCATAGCTTTCTGTTGGCACTTCTCCTTTACCAAAAAAGTCAGGGAAGACAACCAACTTGCGTTTAGGCACGATTGTACACCTGTCTCCGCCCCATAGTCAGCGCGGTAAGAGGCCCTCTAGAAAAAAAGAAACCGAAAGTTCAACAGGGCAACGGTTAGCCCACCTCTTTACTTATAGATGTACTTTCGTCAGCCTCTATGCTTATGCCTCTCTGGACGGTGATGCCCCGCTGAGAATCATCCTCGAATGTTTATTGCCGCGTAAAAGAAGACACTGCTTATGGAAGTAATGTTAACTTAAGAGCAGAGTAAAGAGGACCTACACTTGAAATCGTGAACACACCCAAGATGTCCAGCGCATGAATGTGATGATTTCTGCACTGATCACAGGTCACAATAACAACGCCTTTTTCGTACGAGTTCCGAGAAAAAGTCTTCGGTCCCTGTAACAAGTGAGTGGATCATCACAAGGTTATTTGAAAGCACACCAAAGCATAATCTACGCGTCTAACCAAGAACTTATCTCGTTTATTCTTGCCAATATCTGAGTGAGCGCCTTCAAAGCCCTGCCTTTAAGCGTGGCTGATTCTTTAGCCCACAGCCGAACCATGTAACTAAACTGCCAGGCATGAGAGCTTTTAGCTGTGTCAGACCCAGCCGAATACGATCATTCGTAGTGGGCTACCGGGTAACATCAATGTGTCACCTAAGCTCTCATAATTAAGAACTGGACGGAGACACGCTTCGCAACAATAATCATTCCCATTACTGGATGAAGTTTTACTTCCACTACGATAGACTCGCACAAAAACTGGTTTGCAACTTAGGTCTACATAAAGGGCTGCGGGAACTAGTAGAAAGTCCATACTTTCACTATCCACACTAGGGATATAAGGGGCCGACGCTTGCGGATGGAAGGCTCGGTTGACCTGGGCGCGAATTCGAACATCGGTTTGCCGACCAGCGGCCGCTCCCGTACCCAGACTCTCTATCCCCTTAAACCCTCCCGCTTATCCAACCTTTGAGCCAGAGCCGGTCGAGCGCTGCCATATTTGGACCAAGATTATCGCCACCAGGAGCGCAATGAGTAAAGATCGCCAAAATGGTAGATTAACTGACGAAAGACGATCTCCACGCGGTTAGCTAAATTCAGATCGAACAGCCCACACCGCTGTTAACACCAAACGCCCATACTTAACTCCGAAAATAAAATGACTCCAAACACTTATTTTATCAACTAATATGTGCATCACAATCATTTAATAGAATCTCAGAAAGGCGAACTAACCTAGCACGACGGGTTCCGCAGACTCCACAAGTGTACTGTATGGATAGACGAGCTTGTGAGGGGTCAGCGGGGAAGGAACTTGCTGTGCAGTGTGTTCTAGGCTTGGCGGTATAAGGAGATAATAAATACCGTCCTGACCTGAGCGTCAGCGACACGAACGAGCGAAACATCCACAAAACAGCTGGCATCGATAACTCGCTCCAGTGAGACTACCGTAGCCAGCTTGCGCGTCATTTAATCTATTGCGGAGAGTACAAATGGAACGACGAGCAGCGCTCTTTGAAGGGGTTCTCCTTTGACGTATTGGGGAAGGTGTGTGCTCTATGTGGCTTATATGTTCCCTACTTCGTAGCAGGAAGTCTAGAGGTACCGCGGTAGTGGGATACTAGGTGAGTTTCTACAGATTCACCATTGTTTTTCCTGATTTAATGACACCTAGTACTGTGCAATTGTGCAGTTTCTAGCACTTTCTGTAGCCCATTTTTTACAATGCTGGGAATGTAGGAATATGCAGGGAGCTCCACTGTTGTCCTTCAATGTGTGCGTTGTTTCAGCTTCCGAACTTCTCTCCTCCGACGCGAAAACACCTCCTAGCCTGCAGAACACCAGCCGATGGATGTCGTGAGCCAAAAACTTTGAATTTCGTGGGCGTTTCGAGGCTCAGTCGACACTTTTCAGTCTGTGGTGATTCCAGTGAAGAATGGTGTGCCTTATATCGGAGAATGCCTGGATTCCCTCTCGGATCAAACGTTTAAAGGGACATGGGAGGTAAGAGCAACCAAGAAATTTGAAATGACAACAAACAGATCCTTTGCTTGTAGCTGTTGAGGAGAAGTAGCTAGTCTGAAGCTCGAAGGAAAGCGAAACCTTATTGCAAAGGGAAAGTTCGGAAACGGACGCCTTTCGGTTTGGTGGAAGGGCTTATCTCTTTGCTCATACTCGCTTCCTCGAACCAACAGCGCTTGATTTTGTCTAATAATTTGAAAATCGAAGAAATGACAGTGCTAGCAAGGATCCTGGTGGCCGTGAGTCATTATCTCTCCCCTTCCTCAAGACCTAAGACTTGTCAGAGCGCAGACGGCTAGAGACTGCGTGCCCGAATCTCGCAAAGCAGACATTGCCACCTGCCTCCTCCTTGAAGCTTATGGTTAGCGCCAAAATGGACTTGACAAGAAGCTCGTAGACCTTATGGTCTCCGAACGACTACGTGTGCAGACGGGGAATACCGTAGGGGTGACGGGCAAGAGAATCGTAAGTTGCCGCTTCGTCGCGCGCGGCAATGGGCGCGACGTTTCCTTAATTTGCACTACCCTTTCGATTGGAGCATCGGATTTCATGTAGACAAGGACATGGTAGACACTTCTGTTTTTGGTCATACATTGTCTATTCTCGACCAATACCACCTAAAATCGTCGTCATTAGCGGGCGCGACGTCGCACGCAGCGCCCACTGGCGCGACGAATTACGATTCTCTTGCCCATACCATACCGTAGTCCACACGGACTGCTGCACCAAAACATCCCTGTTCACCGGAATAGCGCCCTCAGTTGTTCTCCTTGCTCAGGGACGTTTTGAAGACCAATAATTCCTACAGGTATGCGTATACAATGACGGAAGTAGTGACTCAACCGTTGCCCATGT